CTACCTGGTAAAATATCAGCTGTGCTGCTGTCATCAACACCTTTGTTTCTAGATGTTGGAGCTTGGCCTGTTTTCCAGTGTAGTCCTGTTTCTCTGACTGTGACTAACTGGATGTGCTCTTTTCATCCTCTGACATGGGAGCTGGCTCGGAGCTCGTCTGCCTGGCTATGTGTTTCCTGGACGGGGCCGCCTGTGGAGCTGGTTGACAGTTGCCTTTTGTATCTATGCTTCTGTCTTCTTGAACCCCTCAGCAGAGTCTGGAGGTTTCTTCCTGTTAAAAGGGAGGTTTTCCTCTCCACTGTCGCTGATTTGACTGGATGATATGGTGAACTGTAATTGCCTTGAGATGAGATGTGTTGTGAATTGGCGCTATAGAAAAAAGCTTAATTGAATTGAATGAAATTGTTTTGTTTGCAGATAAAACAAATATCTTCTCTTGGCTGAGAGGCACCAAATTCTCCGACCACCTGTGAAGGCAGGAGGCGCTGTTCCTTCTGCTCACAGGTTTGTTGGGAGGGAGTAAACAGAGTTAATCAGCTGTCAGCTGTTTAGGTCAGGGACCACAAATCAATCAGGCACTCACAGGGTGGAACAAAAACAGCTCGATGAACATGTTAGCCTCAATTTATTAAATCATAATAATACAAAAAAAATTGATTGAAACATAAATCAGGCAGTATTGACCCTTCTGGGTCACCAGACAGCACGTCGGCTTGATTAACATGCAGAAAAGGTTTGTTGTCGTGCATTCACACCAGCACAGGTGCTTGAAGCAGGTGGATAACGTTCAGTTTTATATAGGGAAACATCATAACCAGCAAACTAAAATGTTCTTTTTAAATAAAAAACCTTGTAACACAGAGTAGCTTTCTACTATTGTTTAGATTTCTCAACTGAAATTACTCTTTAATTGCATTGGACCCCATTCATTTAACCTTAAAGCAGACCTTGGTGCATCCTAAACCAGCAAGTCACCTGTAAGTCACCTGTCCTGCAAACAGGAGGCCTGGGTTCGTATCCCACCTGCCTGTGTGGGTCCGTAGGTTCCACGCTAATGCTTGCTTTGTGGAGTGGAGCCTAGTGGTTAGGGCATTGTGGTTGGAGGTCTGAGTTCAAGTCCAACTCCCACAGCCTCCACTCTCTGAGCAAGACACATAACCCCCACACTGCTCGCTGGGACCAAGGGTCTGGGTTAAATGCAGAGAGTTCATGTCATTGACAATAAAACGATTGGAAATGTTTTAGTGACTGGATATTTTCACTAGAAAAGATTGTTGCAAAACAATAATTAGCTTTAGCTTAATCTCAGTGACAGTCTGTATTTGGACCCCTCCAGGAAACTGACTCCCTGCTCTATAACTACATCCCTCCCTATGAAAACAGTCATTTAATTTTTATT